TGACAGAAAGTAATAATTACTTTGAATATTCAATAGCAGCAATACAAGTTTTTCTTGTTTGGAGCTGTTGTAGTTTTCATCATTTTACAATGACTAAAGTTTTCATTTGTTTGTAACACTTTGATAAATTCAAAAGATAAATATCGATATCCAATTATATTCATGATGTGTTATGGGTGAGAAGTGAAAAAGAACTTTTTCAATAGTTCGACCAATTATCATTTTCATTTTAAATTATGATGCTGTTTACAGTTCTTTATGCAACAATGGTTTTTTTTAGGTCACACAAAAAAAAAAAATAAACAAAAACAAAACTTGAGAAATATTAGTTTTGATTGGTATTATTCAAAAACGTTCTATAGGATGAATACAAATCATGTGTAGTATTCGCTGACGTAATTGATTTTGTTGATGACAACATAGTAGACGATCAAAAAGTCGAATAAGTTCAATACGAAAAATTGTACCACGAATGGTATATATAAAAAACATTCCACTTGAATTAATATATGAAACAACTATTGAAACTTGAGAAACAAAATATTCATTATTCATTTGTTGCTGTGATTTTCTTATTACACTTGTTGTTGCTTGATAAAATTTGACTATAGTTATAGGAAACATACTTACAACAATTAAAGCTACCTAAATCAAAAATTAAAAAATAAAATAAAAATATAAGTTTTCGAATACATTCTTCATTCATATACTTCAAGTAATAATATTGATATAAGTTGTCTATCACGTCGATTTATTCTATGTATAGATCGCGTATTTGATTGAATATCTTCAACACGTTGATAACTTTGTTTTATATTAATTAACATAGCTGCACCAAAGCTTAGCATTAGACTTGGTGGTAAAAAACTATTAAATATTAAAAAGTTAGCTGTATCTATATATGAACATAATTGATTTTTAGCTGAACAAATATTATTAGTTATCAGTGATGCTTCAAAACAAAAAAATACTTCAATATAACTTAATGAAGTCAATATTGATATACATGATACAATAGAAAAAACTTTTCGTCGATTTATCCATCGATGATGAACAATATTTGACGATGATGATAGATATCTATCGATACAAGCTAATACAATCAGCCAAAGAGATACTGATTGAGATGTATATATAACATAATGACGTATTTTACAAAATATTGATGAATTATATGTTAAATCGATATTATAACCAATTAAACATCGTATAAAAACTCCAAATATCAGTACAAGAAAATTAAGAAAACTTGATAATAATAAGCATAAAACACAAGTATTATGACGAAGATGTGGTCGACTAAAGACATAAACATTTAATAAGTTTCCCAAAGTACCAACAATTAAAAGAAATAAAACTCCATAACGATTTAGTGCTGATACACCAACTGTTGCAAGATAAGATGAAAGATTGTCATCCATTGTTCATTTTAGTTTTAATCGTGATTATATGTTATTAGAAAAGAGATGATAAATTTTATAGTTTCTAGAGAAGAAGAAAAAAACATAGCATTGATAAGGTTTTTTTTACGCATTTGATATATAAAACGAAACAATAATTGATATTTTTTGATACTTTACACATAAGACAATTATTTTTCCAGCATGAATAAAAATTATCTATCTTGAATAATTTACAATGTTTTTTAATGTATTACTGTTAAAGTAAAAAATAACTTTGAAAGATACGTTTTATATAAGTATTTTTAAGTGGATTAGATAATGCTTATGTAGTATGTATTTAGATTACATTTCTCATTAAATTTATCTTAAAGTATATTACATTTCATCTGACCTAGATATGTGACTGATCTATCCTACATATGAAACTTTAAATTAGTAAAAAGACGCAAAATTTTCTTAATGAAATCCTCACTCAATATCATTGAACTTCTCATGCTATATACTTGAAAATCAGAATATTTCTAGAGTAGAGTCTTGTTTCTGTCACTAATTTTTATTGTTATACTGTTTTCTACAAGGGTTTTTGTTCAATAGGTTTATATCAAACATAAATGAACAAAATTTTTCATGTATATCATCTATATGGATGATTTCTGTTTAGTTTTTAAAATTATCGCTTCCAAAAATTCGAATAGCTATATAGTAACTACAAAAAAATAATGACTCTGGATACAAGTACCGTATGATCACTGAGTGAATAGATGATATTCAACTAAATCTGTCTTGTTTTTTGGTTGCATTTTGATCTATATATCAATAAAAATGTTCTGTTACTTATAAAGATTGCCGTAAAAATGATTCAAACAACTAACGAGCACCTACGAGCAACAAAAAGACCACAGATGTAGTGATTTTGGTATTCAGTTGATAGCATGACAAAACCTATACAATGTTGACATGGAAAAATGATGAGTACATATCACATTGGGATAGAAGTATTATATTTATAGTATAAAAAGAGATAGAGTAAATAGGATTGTTTTGGGACTATATATGCGATAGTTGTAAAAAAAAATTCATTTTCTTATAAGTTGATGCGAGGAACATATTTTAACAATTTATATCAATTCATTTGTATCTTTGATTCTTATTAGTAGTGTTGTAAATGAAAAAAGTAAAATAATACGCCGTCTTTTTTCATGATTTCAAACGGTTGTATCGTCAATTATTTAATACTTTGTTATTAATTAGGATAGTGGTAAGTTCTAAGCATAAAATACTTTTTTCTTAAAGAGAAAAACGTCAAATACAATTACACTTTGTAACATGATTTGAAAACTTGAGCATAATTTTCATGGTTAATCTTGAAGAATACACTAACTTTATAATGAAGATATAAGATTTTTGACTATAGAAAGGTCGTATCACACTAGTTTTTTCTATCTTCACTAACCTGTCATATAGATTTTCTTCGACCACGAAAGTATTTGTATGTGATCATTAATGAAAGTCAATTATAAATAAACTAAGTGACATAGAGAATTAGACTTGAAAAAGTTTATTATAAAATCTTGTAGACATCAGGTACGTTTATTCTTTTAATGCAGTTATTTCATTGAATTCCAAATCATAATATAATCAATAATGCTCAGCAGTGCAGTTATCAAGTTTCAAGTAATTGACAACAACAAGAAATAAAGAAAGAAAAAAGCACGTTAACAATTATATTTTGATGAAGAATGTTAAATAGAAAACAATTCTTAATTGATTTTACTATAGAATCGATAAGAAAGTTTCCAAACAATTCGAAAAATAGTTGTAAGACAATATATAACAAATACCAGATATCATAATTCCTCTTCATACAAAATTTTATCTAGATCATGTAGAATTCAAAAAGAAATATAGAATACAAGCTGATTAAACTCTTGAAATTGTATGCTTTGAGGTGGAGCAATTGTAATAGATATTTTAGCTAACGTTTTTTATTTGATTTTAATACCTTGTAATTAGATTATTTTCAATCAAGGAAAACCTAGTTTTATATTCATATATGTATACATTTATCAATTTTAATATTTCAAGGATTAATCCACTACTAAAAAAAGGTATTTACTGATATTTTATTTTGTTTGCTTCGCAATTTTGCTAATAATTCAGCCACAGTCGGTCGAGAATATATTCCAGAAAGTTTAAAATAAAGTAAAGAATTCAATAAACAAGCATCAGAAATCGATCTTCTATTATAATTTATGATGATACTACTTTCAAAACTACTAAAGTATCAGGTAAGACATATAGTTAGAGAGTTGCAAGTTCACATTTTCGTAGACTCGGATCTAATAGATCTAGATTTAAATTTGAGCATGTTTATAATAGAGTTTTGTACTAGTTACTCTAAACTTAAACCGTAGTCAAAACGCTGTACTTGGGTAGAATGATATCAACTTTTTCCTATTCAGACTCGAAGCTGAATAAAAATCGAGTTTCAAATAAAATCTGGATAGGAACCTAAATCCGACACGGTCGGATTTACGATAGGAGTTGGAACGAACCGCAATTGTCTACAGATGATTGTTCGATTTCCATGAACTACTTATTCATATTGTGGATATAGATACATGTGAATCCGCGCTTGAATATGGTGTAGACAGTATCAAAAATGTCGGAAATCAAGAACTTCAATTTTATTTTTAGATTTATTCAATATTGATTGTTTTTTTGTTTGATCTATCAACTTAATAAACTATCGAATTAAACAGAGTTAGAGATATTTTTGTTTTTCTTTCATGGCACAAGGTTTACCTACATATTTTTAGTTTTCTAATATCGAGATTCTTCATTGTTATTTTAGAAAAAATATAGCACTAATGGTGAATAACAATTATATGTGCTAGAACATAAGATAAATTTTGAATACGCATTAGATGGAATGTTGCTATCTAGTTTTAATTATTATCAACTCGTTTTTCACACTCAAAATTAAATAAAAATTGATGAACATATGTAATTCTGAATAATTGATTGAGATCGTTTTATCTAATATTTGTATGATGCAGTTAAGAATATTGATATACAATCGAAAACTACTAATTCAAATACTTAATATTAATAATAACAAAAATATAAAATATATTCACAAACAAAATACTTATTAGTTTGTACTGAATCATATAAAAAGTTCTACAAATAATCGTTTTCATATTATTAATTGTTGTTGTCTTTTTTTTGTTAATAAAAATAAAAAAACCTATTACTACATTTTATAAATTTGGATTCGATACATTTTTAATATCTTCGACATGCTTTTGTTTTGATTTTTAATCAGCCATCAGCACCTATTTTCAATATGTAATCTACATATGATTTGTCATAGACATCAAGTAAAGAATGCAAAAAAGTTTCACAGGTAAAATATGCATTCACCTTCATGGTGATGATGCATATTTTATTCATTCTATTTATAACAGCACTCATACATTGATTTTGTCCTTCGTATCATTTCGTGAGTGTAATATTTGAAATAAATATGTCTCAACATCATGTAACTGATGTTCCTAAATATTTATCAATCGTTTACGTGAAACAGCCGTATGAATGTTTGCTGAATTAGATATTGCTGATCATCTTGCAGCTACTGATACACCACAAACAGCTAAAGAATTAGCACAAAAACAAGAATGGAATAGTGAATTTCTTTGTCGACTTTTACGTAGTGTGGCTGATGCTGATATTGTACGTGAAATAAAATCAAATGAAACAGTTGAATCAGAAAACAAAATCGTTTCGAATTAACTGAGGATGGTCATTTTCTCACATCAAATCATCCAAGTAAAGCTTGATATTTAATTTGTTGGAAATTAATGTCATTAATCAACACAGCTTCACATTATTTACCTAATTTATTACGTGATGGTTTGAGCAAAGATACTGGTATTCAACGAGTAACTAATAATGAAGCAATATTCGATTTCTTGAAAACAGAAGAAAATACAAATATCGCTCATAATTGTAACGAAACCATGACAAGTATGTCATCGTATCATAGTCAATATATTGTTAATAGTGTTGATTTTGATCGATTTAATACAATCGTTGATATCGGTGGTGGTTTAGGTTGTCTTTTAGCTCATATACTTGAAAAATATTCACCAATCAAACAAGGTATTTGTTTTGATTTACCTAATGTTATTCAAGAAAAAGGAACTGAAACAGAATTGGAAAAACGAAACATATCTAAAGATCGATATCCATTTATCGCTGAAGATATGTTTGATCCTAAAACAATTCCACAAGCTGATGCTTACATTATGAAAAGTGTCATTCATGATTGAAATGATGATCAAGCAATTGATATTCTTAAAGCTATTCAAACAGCAGCTAATGGACAACAAATAACAATATTTATTGCTGATCTTATTATATTATCTGACACTGAGCAAAATAAATTTACGAATCAAACTGTACATGCAATTGATATTCACATGATGATATTGGTAGACGCAAAAGAATGTACTCAAAATTAATATGAATATCTTTGTGAACAGTGATTTTCGAATTAAACATTTATATCGTATAGAAACACCATTCTCAGTCATCGAAGCTATGGCTAATTAATTCAATACACTAAACTTATAATTTTTTTTTGACTGTATTCTATTATATTCATTAAAAAAATAAAGATTCATGATATATAAACCCAAATACTGTAATACAACTAGTGATGAGCGGGACCAATCGTTTTTGATGTTGGATCCTGTCAAAAAAAATTGGTTCCGGTACTGCCGGGGCTGGGGCCATCTTGGTCATGTCTTGATGCAACGTATACTGATTATCAAATGGAATCGATCTTTCTAAAATAATTCCAACGGTTGATCAGCGTCATCTATTGATTTCAAAATTATATGTCTATCATTCGAAGAGATTAATAAAAAATTCCCAATTCAGGTTTGTTTCTTTCTTAAAGCATTTGAATTATTTCATTGATAATAGTTTTTATTTCAGACGCAATTTCTTCCTCTATCTTCAAATGAACATATTAACCATATTATCAAATTCATATTCTAATGAATCTTCTCATTTAACATCAATGTATGGGAATCTATATCAGTCACCAATATTTTCTACAACGGCCGAACAATTTTATTGTGATTATCAACATGATTCAAGATCAATACCAATATTAGAACATATTGAATATTCAACAAATGATTATAATTGTAGATTAATAATGCTTTTCGATTTTGAAATTTTTTTTTTCTCATTTATTTATTTCTAGTTGTTTCTAACTATATGCCATATCAATCGTCATCAACACTTTTTTATCCACAAGAACCAATGATCAGTACGACTAAAATTCTTATTAATCCATTCTTTAAAACACATTCAACAAATCGAACAAGTGAATCAGTATCCAACATCGAAAACAAATGTCCAACAGTACTCGAACAACAAGAAAATTCATCAATATCATCACGACATCGAAGTCGTTCACCATCATCTGATCGACAAGTAACAATATCTCGTAATAAAAACCCACGAAAACGTCAAAAACGAAAAGCACAACAAAAAAAATTTATTCAAGAAAAAGAATTAATATTTGAAAAACAATCATCATTAGTTTTTTCGAAACATAAACATTGTCATTCATCACCCGATCGTTGGGAACATAAAGAAGAACAATTAAAACGCTTATATAAAGAATATTCTAATGAAGATATATCTAAACAAGGGAAGCCATTATCGCATAATGAATATTATGAGTTATATCAATATTCTTTTGACAAACATCATCGAAGATCTATTGACGATCAAGACTAGTTCTATTATTATTGTACTCAAAGTTCGATCTTTCAGTAGATTTTTTTGTGCGCTTTGTTGTTCTTATCAAATACATATAAACGTTTAGTGTTTAAAAGTTACCTCTTTTAGGTTTCGATCTTTTTATGTATAAAAGGTATAGTTTTTAAGCACAAGTTATTAGAAACGTTGGAATTTGCGTGAAAAAAAGGACTTTGTCTCAATTGTTACGCAGATTTTTGTAAGTTAATTATTCATCCTTTTCAAACGGTTGAATATTTCAAATCTTACCAGTATATATTATTCTTACATGAACTCTAATAACTCGAAGATCTGTCACAGGTTTTGAATCTAAATTATCTTGGAACTACACTAAAATTTGATAGAGAGTTACTTTTATCATTCATTGGTTCGAGATTATAGTATAAAACATATTGAACAATTTCAATACATATAATTATTTTAATTTTAATTTACTAGATATGCGATTTCGTTTTCGACGATTGATCTATTTTCTACTATTAATAGTTTCATTAATTATTCCTTATCAACTATACATCATAACTCATAAATCAGTAAACTTTCAATCACCTTTTCTAGTGAGTATTTGATAAAAATCTCGGTCTTGCTATCATAGTATATATATATCTTTCTAATAGATAATTCATTTGAAAAATCGTACTTATCGCATACTATCTTCATCATTTAAATATAATTCTCGTGAATCATATCTTAATTTTGCGTATTTTAATGTTGAACAACGTTCTCGAGTGTTATATATTGATTATCTGTATGGTAAGTTTTCATATATGATATAAATCAAAATTTTACTTATATTTTTTCTATTAAAGATATACCAGTTTCATCTCAATGGCAATCAAGTGGACATTTATATCCAATACAAATCGCTCAATTTGGTCTCAGTCATTGGAGTCGATTAAAATTGAATTCGAAGACTCAACAAAATCATATTCATAGATTTGAACGAATACAACCAAGTAAATTGATTTTCATGACACTTGAGAAAATTTTTCTGAATTTAATTAGATAAAAATGATTATTGTTCAACATGGCATATAATAAAAAATAAAATTATTCTCTCCAATACTTTTATTCATTTTACAATTTCATCCAATTGTTCATTACATTTTCAATTTTTGAATAATAATATTGAACTTATTTATTCAACGATGATAATCAATGATTTGAAAAGTCCGACAAAAATAATTATTCCACTCAAAGGTTTTCCTCGTCAAGTTAATCGACATATGTTAATTGATATTGAAAAATCGATTCAAAAATTACATTTAATTAAAAATGATTTCATCAAAATTCGAATTTGTGGTGAACCGAATTCTTTTGTCAATCAACTAATAATCGGTAATCAAACACTATATAATCAACAAGCATTTTATTCAGCTACACGATGGTTATTAAATACTCAAGATTTTAAAACAGGTTGTTGGTTTATTTATGTTAAACGAAACTATGGTAATCATCATCAATATCATTTACGAATGCCATGGTGTTCAGCAATGGCACAAGGTAAATTTCTTTCTGACAATAATGTATAATATCATTTTGTAAACTTAGGTCAAGCAGCATCTTTACTTATACGTCTTTATACTCTTACAAATGATATTCAACATTTATCAGCTATTCGTCGAGCTATTCAACCTCTATGGTCATCAAATATGACTCGAGCTTATTTTAATAATCGTTTTCTTTGGCTTGAAGAATATCCATTAGAATCACCTGCTAAAGGTCTTTTCGTTCTTAATGGATGTCTTTATGCTTTAATTGGTATTATCGATGCTCATACAATCGATCCTCAATCTTATTTATTAGAATTAATTAATGAAATAATTATTTCATTACAGTATATGCTTCCACATTATATACATTCTAAGATTTCAAATTGGTCTCTCTATGATTTAAGTCATATAACAATGCAATCAAAAATAAATACAGCTTCAGATTCATATCATCTTGTACATATAACTCTACTTCAATGTTTAAGTCAATTATTTAAAAAAACAAATGTTTCAACATCTCAACTATTTGATTTATATGCTCGACGATTTATATCAGCTATTTCGTAATAGAATTTTCATCAATTTTCTATAATTCTTCACTTTTTTTACTGGATAATAATAAATAACAATAAAATCTTTTGTTTTTTCTTTATTATGTACAAGTCCAAAACCAAGAAATCGACAATCTGGGTTTAGTATTGGAGTATAACGTTTCTGAAAGAAAATCATCATTAATTTTATCAAGTATTTATTTACTTTAAGTGAATGATCATTTTTTAAGTCTTTAATAAGTTGATTATGTATTAATTTAGCAATATCATAACCATAATTAACAGGTGCTCGACAAGACATAACTCTACATGTTGAATATATAGTTAATGAGTTATTTTTATAAAAAAAAAATTTTCATACGTTTCTCCAATAGGTTCATTATTATGAATAAGATCAGATTGATTAGTATTTTCTATACGATTTTGAATAGAAAATTGAGTCGCTCGATAAAGTGCTCGATTTGTAAGTTCATTAGAAATTTCAAGTGGTATAAATCCTAGATGAAAACGATATTCATTTATCGTTTCAAGATATTCTTTCGTTAAACGATTTAAATCGATGTCACTTTGAATGTTGTATAATTGATTTGGTGTTGCAACGATTTTATCTATTAAATGAATGTTTCGATTGGAAATAATTAGTTGACCTGATGGCGAATATTTGTTCGAGATTTTTCCGTCTTCAGATGATCGAAATAATTTTATTGTATTTGAATTACGTATTTCCGGTGATAACCCATCGTTTACTATTACGTTTACAGAGCGTATCTTTGAATTTCAACCACAGAAGGTACGACGACAAGCAAGAAATATATTCAACATACATTCTATTACCTCAATTATTTAATCTTAAGTAATTAAAATCAACCTTTAAAATGAAATATAAAACAAGCTAATTATAAGCAAATGGTATTTTTAGCGCTAATTGCTGATTAACTTGAGAATGTATTCAATCACAATTTATTAATAAAATAATAATGTTTAACAGTAATTTTAAATGTACTTATTTATACTGTTTTTGTCAAAGATAAAGCTTGCTTGTAAATATGATCTATCTTCTTCAAAACTTGTTCATTCGAAATATGTATTTGAACAGAGTCGCTTTCAATAATACAAAAAAAAAATATATAAATTCTATTGATGAGCGTAATGGTTGGACTACGACGAATGAGCCTCTTAGTGTTTCACGTCTGGGTCACTGCTTTTTCCACACAGGAAAACACCTTTTTAGAAAAATATTTCTCGTACAATTCCCTATGAATTGCAGGCGTTGTTATTTCTAAAAAGTCTTCACTGTTTTGCAACATACAATATAATCATTTAGTCCAAGGTACGCAGTTTTCTATGATAATATTTTGTCGGACCTTTTCTTACATAATATTTCAAGTGTTGAATCATTATTGTTCTTGATGTCACTCTACTCCAATTACTGGTCTTTACAAACTCATC